ACCCTCTCAGAATGCACGTATTTAACCCAACTCAATGCCTTTTGCTACCGAGTGGGAAGTCTTGGAATGCTAAGCTTTTTATTACTATTTATACGGAATCAGATGCTAATGGGTCACTTGGAAATATAAGCTCAAAACTTCATGATATAAAATTCCACGATTTAACACACGCAAAATACGGCTAATCTTAAAGCGCAGTGACTATCAAAATGGTTTCTTGCAGGTGGAAACTTAAAAATTTTAACTGCGTGTTTCACCTTAAATGCGAAAAGACGACCGACGAAATTACAGTGACAAGCTCGTATTCCCCAACTGCCCTCCTAATCAGCATGATAGTTAAATAAATTCTGTCGCAGAAGGCATACCGGAGAATCTAAGGGGGAGAGTTCTATGCTCAATGCAAAGATTGTACCTATTTTTAATACTTTGTTCTCTCCACCGCCTGTGTGAGTAGCGGTCACTTTAGCGACTATTTTGTTTCCATCGGACAAGTAGGTCTTGGAGCAGTTTAGGGATCACTTTCACCTTTTCCGTCCAATTAAAGGCATTGTGGCATGCATTGCAGCTTTAATTCCCAAATAGAAAGTTTTGGAATGTTGCAATTTATGCCTTTGGTGCAGTGCATTGCACACAGAAGCAAAACACGGAAAGACTGACTTAATACAAAATACGCAGTTCTAAGCCCACCTTTTTCGGGACTGCGTAAGTTCAGTTCTTTGCAAATAAAGAACCAGATGTGCCAAGCTCAATCCTTATTATGGCTTTACACAATTTACTAGAATACCTTTAATCTTTGCAAGCTCTCTAACTTTCATTTTTACCTAAACTTTGTAAATCACAACGCTCGAAATGCAGATCATAACTTGTTTGTCCTTGGTATTTAAATACACTTACACATAGACTTAAATATTTAGGCCCTGATGCCACGGATAATGTTATGCGGAAACTTTATTGGGCTGTGACCTTGAAGGAGTGTTGATTGTCTGTTACAAGTAATGGGAGTCTTTTGTAGAATTAGACCATTAGTCGTTGTTTGAGGTATATGGTGTGCTTTCCTTGATTTTTCGGATTGCACGAACTTCATCTAGCTGCCATTATATTTAGCTGATCATTCTTCTTCTTCATTGCCTGAGCTGCATGATGCCAAGAGCTCCGTTTCCCTCTCACTATTTCTCAGTTCAGAAGTACTTCGTCCACTTTATAGGCCCTTCACAATTCGTTCTTATTTCGGAAATTTTTGCTGCTTTGCTTTCATAAATACATAAAGACTGAAGAGTCATGATTTTCCTCTCGGTGTAATTTGATACAACAGTGCTCCTTTGTTTTTTCATCTTACAGTTGTTTATAAAGTAATTGGATTATATCGCATTGCCCACTTAACTGGCAGCCTTGTTCGTCTTTTGCCTTTTGGTATGATTGGCGCACCAATTCAAGTTGATTGCTTAGCGTTATGCCTCGAAGTGTTTGTAAACACCCGAATTTTGTATGCTAATTTTTCTTAATGCAAGCAACCTGTCCTTTTTAGGTTTGTCAGGACCTGGGTTAGCCTAATTGCCTACCACATAATGCGTTCCACTAAAGGCTCACAGTATCTCTCATCTCCACTTTCCTCTCATCTTGCTACGACGTTGGCCAACTCAGGAGACATCCTTTTTTCTTCCCCTGTTACTAATCACCGCAGTAGTCCATATTTGCTCTCATCCTCTCAACCTCCATCCTTTCAGCAGCACCAAAACAGTTCGGTCTTTTCACTGGTTGATCCCAATATCGAGCTGCCAACAATAAGCGCTAACGAGGTTGAGCAAGTCTTAAGTCAGCTTCAGTCGACATCGTCCTCTCAATCGTCTGCACCACCGCCATCTCGAAAGACATCGGGCTATTGGTTTTCTAAAGATGATTCTTTTACCCCTCCTCCGATAAAGCGCTCCTTTGGTGGGTCTGTTATGCCTGTGGTAACATGCACAACCCATCAAACGCAGAGTTCACAGTCACTTCAGACGCGATCTTCTTCATTATTTGCTGCTCTTCAACTGCCTCCAATGGGTGTTGGACAAGCAACAATTTCTTCTTCTGTCTCTCCTCCACTGCACGCAGCATTGCGAAGACAGCTGCTTACGCCGTCAACCGCCTTTATCAATCTCTCAAATGCAGCTAAACAACGTCAGGAAAATCTTACAGTGCGTCTGGCCAATCGAGCCAAATTGACTGCTGCTGCTCGGATTCCCGTTGTCGTTAATCCGTCGACGGTCAGCTCCGAATGTGTATGTACCCACTATTCCTTGCCTTTGATCATAATCAACATCATCAAACGCTTAAAGTGTTTTGCTTGCATCATCAGTTCTCGCACACATTGTAAAACCCCCATCAGACATTTGATGACTTTCCCCAATTCAAAGCTCATTTAGGTGTCCTTCAAACATTGCCACCAGACAAACTGTTAGCATGCCTTGTTGCTAGCTTCCCAAAAGATTTCAGAGGAGTTTAAAGTTGTGTTCTTATAAACTATTGTTTTTGAACGCGCTTGATAGACATCACTACCAAAATTGATTACGAAGCCTTTTTTCCATTGGTATTTTGAGTCAACTCTCAGCCCTTTAGCTAGCTTCATGACCGTCTTCACAGGAAGACTACAAACCAGATTCAAGTCTCTCTAGAGTGATATTGCCATACCCTGCAGTGAACGCTGCCTGTGAGTGACTATGGGCATGGGATGTACACCTTTTTGCCCCTCCCATGCGCTCTCATTTTGGGCGAATCCGTCATGTTCATCTCTTCACTCCTAGCCTTCTTTTCTTTCCATCGAAGTATATAACTTACAGTTGGCTAATTTGCCCCTGTTTCGAAAGCACTTTTATCATTTTGGTTATTGCCTAATATGCAGAGGAACTTTATGCTTTCATTTTCTAAATGCTTTGAACTTCATTTGTGCTCGTAGCGGATTCGAGTAATCTTTTGATGCGTGCTTCTACTCGACTCGCAATGTTACTTCACCCATGGAATTTTATGAAATGGCATTTGCGAATAATGCTAATCATATGCTCATTTTGTATACTGTTACTTACGGACTCTTATTACAAATATGTACCATTGCTATTATGCGGAGTTTACTTGTCTGATGTATTCTGACTGTCATTTGGGATGCTGTCAATTTAACGCTGCCGTACCGTTGGAAACATTGCTACTTCCTTAGCAATGCTGGAGTGTTATTTAAAGCCAAATTTTTGCATTGTTCAGCTCTCTGTACTGGCACTATACATTGATTTCTGTGGAATCTTAAAACACATTTTTAATCTCAAATAAAGACAATTTACATACCTAAGGCGTACCGCATTCAAGACCTTTTCGTATGCCCTGCTCAAAGGCACATTGATGGATAAATCGTGTTCTTTCTAGACCACACCAACTCGATCTGTCGCATCACAAGCGCCTACTTCCACCGACCTTCACATCTCCCAGGATCCTAACGAGCGCTTTCGGTTTGTCGTGAGTTCCGCTAATTAAAAAATGAACTGTTTTATTGCCCTCGGATTTCCAATCTGAAATTTGACTTTGGTTATGTTCGTGCTCTTCATCGAGTCCCAGTAACTCAATTTTGCTGTTCAACAGCATGCGATGCTGTTCTGAGGTTGGCACGGCTTCTTGTTCTGACTGCAGTGGTTTCATGAATTCATAACCTTATGGCAGGATTTTATGTAAGATCTTCTAAACTTGCGTTAGCTGGCGGCTAGTCGGTCAGTTGGCATTTTATTATTGTATAGGAGTAAGAGCGATGGCATTAATGAACCATCACCTGAGCCAAACTGTGCGTCCTCGTCGATTCCCTTACGCGTGGAAAAGCAGCTCGAATTCCAATCAAACCACACCACGCAGGTTCTCTCTTCATTATCGCTCCCATTTGCGTATGGGCTTCGAATGGGAGCCTTAAGTCGCAATTCTTACCTAACTATAGTACCCGTACCAAAACAATGCTTAGGTTGGTCAATTCTTATAGCATCTTGTAAACCATTCAGGGGAATGTATTTTTTAAAGCTTCATCGCATTCATACTTCCCGTGGATTAGTTAAATTTAGCATAAATTACATTGGCATTGCCTGTAGTCTTATTTCTGATAAGTTCAGTCAATGTTTTGACAGCTTGTCTCTTCAGCTAGGTGGCACGAAGCAAATGTACAACGATACTTTGTCCCTTTGTCTTTACTTTTTATTTTTTCATTTCCTAGTTGTGAAGAGCAGAAAAGTAAAACATTGAAATCAAAAGTTGGTTACGATTATTATTCAGCATTTACTCATCTCAATAACGGTAAACTGAGACATTTCAAGCGCTGATAGGACAATTGGATACCCTAGGTCTCGCCCCATTATTAAGCCATTTTTTTAAATTTTGAAGCAGATATCCCATTTTCCGCCGATTATGCACCTATTTCACCACACTGTCTTTGTAATGCTTGATTGGAATATTTTGGAAAAGTAACCATTAGTTCGTTCTAGAATATCTCCATTTAACTAATCCTAGGCTAATAGCGCCATGGTTATTTCGTCATTCTGGTTTGCTTGTTGACTTGCTAAAAGTGGCATGTTCAAGTAGGTAGGTACATTGTTCTGAGGAATGAAGCACTCAAGTTTGTATTCATAATAATTTAGCGCTCCATTGCTCGCCATTCTGAATAGAATTTTGCTGACAATCCGGAATTTTAAAGATTTCTCCCTTTCCCTACCCTACCATACCTGTTAGCTGGTTCATGAGTAGCCAATAGCGTTGCAGTACGAATACTCGCCAAGATTTTTGCTGTAAGTGAATAGGCAAAACTACTAGTGTGAAATTGTTCAGTTTTCTCTGTGCGATTTCAATGATTTCATTATTCCCAGTTTGTTACGAATAAAAATTATGATTTCGTTTATTTTTGCATTTCATCTCAACTGGCATCTCACTAAGCTATTTACTTTGCTTGGTGTTAATTTTGCACGCAGCCGTTTTTTCTGCTTGATGCTCATCATTTTTATATTGATTCGAAAAAGGGCCATACTTTTGGGCATCTCAACTTCAAGAAGTGAAACACCCCTACAATTTCGACAAAGTTATTTGTACATACCAGTGTCTAACTTCAGCAAGTTTAGTTCCAGTGCTTCCAATTAATACCAAATAATTTCTGACTTTGTTCGCATTGTTTCGGAATTAACTTCTAGATTTGTTGAAACATTTCGTCTTCAAAATGGGCTGTGTTTTTTGCCCAAAGCGTTTCATTGGACCCAGTTCGCCTCCTTTCTATTTTTTTTAATTTCAAAGCTTAAATCCACTAAATTCAAAGGTCACTGGACTTGGTTCTAGTGTCCTCACCCGCGATGCGGTCGGCGGTACCAGGCGCGAATTGGCTTGACCCGTCACTTGGTGAAGTACCATGGAGAGAACGTGGAGTCGGAGGAGGTGGTGACGTTGAAGCCGAATTCGGATCCTCTCCCATCCTCAACAGCCGGTGCCGTTTGCAACGAAGAGGCTACTCTCTCGCGCTCATCTGTTTCTTCCTGCACGACCACCGCTGGGCCCTCTTCTTCCCTCAAACTTTGCTTCTCCGTGCGGACTGTTCGGGTATCTTCCGATCCCTCTTCCCTTTGCACTCGCTAACTCTTGAAACCTTCGGCCGGCGCTCAACTACGGCTAATTTTAATTTTATTACAAGATGCCTTTTTATAGCACCAACTCATGTCTTGATCTTGGGGCTTGAGGATCGCCTATGCATGCATCTCGCCCTTGTTATTTGGTTTATCAACCTCTTCTGTTTTATGAGGCCCTATATAGGTTATCTAGAGCCAAACTTAGTTTACAGTAAATTTATCGATGCCATGCTGCATGTTTAAAGATTCCGAATCTGCAGAGGTTAGTATTCGCTGTTACCACGCCTCCCTGTTTACAAACATTATTTGCGTTTTGTTCTATTTATTTCTCATTGTTGAAACAGTTTTGTGATTACGCAATGTGGAGAAATACTGGAGTTCTTCTTTAATGCACCCTAGGAAATAGGTGGCATAGTTTATCTTGAGAATTTTTTTCCTAACTTCCGAGGTCATAATCGCCATTCATGTCTAGAAAGTAATGCATTCATTGAAAAGCCTATCACATCCATTCACTCTTCTGGCATCCACGTTTATCATTCCTTTCGGTTGAATGCTTCAATCTGCCCAAAAATGCTGGATATAATTATGGTACTTTGCTTTACTGGTAGTGCTGCTTTGGTGTGTTTGACAATTCACGCACTCGGGGAAGCAACACATTCAAACCGTTTTTGTCAACTTAATTGTAGTAATCGACATATTTACATACTCGATAGAACAGCAGCCCTCGCTATTGGTTTGCCGAGGTATTTTCTTTGTCTGAAAACTTACGTTTATTGTGGATATTACTTATTATTTTCGGCTCTTTCTGTCTAAATACCAAAGTATGTTTATTTTACTAATGTTTCTTTAACGTTCCACTCAACGAATTACAAAGTCCATGACTTCTATTTTGCAAACTTCGAATGGAATCTGATATGGCCTCTCGTGGTGCAGGTGGATCAACGGTCGTCTCAGTCACTGGACAGATCAAAAGTTCAGCGTCGCTGTCCATCACCTCCGCCCCCTTCCTCCTCCTCAAGCACTCTTGCCTGTCCTCTTCCCTCCTCTGCACTCAAGATAGCCCCCACCGCTGTGACTCACACGAATCTGCGTAGCCAGACCTCACCTAGTCTGGCCTCTGATCGCCAGACGACCACTACCGTCAGTGGGGCTCCCAAGGTGGCCATCGTCTCTGTGCAACGCTCACCACCCCCCATTTCTGTTCCGGTTGCTGCTTCCACCGCCGTCGCCGCCCGCCCCGACCCTCTTTTGGTGCAGCAACCACCACCCCCGCCAACACTTCAGCCTCAGTCCCCTTTCCTCATGGGCATTTACTCCAACGATGTCACCGAACCGATTAGCACCTGCAAGTTGCCTTGCCACTTATAGATCGTAATTTTTGCGTGAATTTCCTCAAGTAGAATAACCCAGGTTGACTCTATCCATGTACCTATTATTTTCCTAACAAGCTTTTTATGAATCATAATAGGCGTTTGGATTCAATTGTTTGAATGTGGAAATAGGCAATCCGCAATTCAAGTAAAGTACCTAGCCTGAACTCCAATGTCGCTGTATTTTAGCTCCCCAGGGGTCAGATTTCAAAATTATTAAAATAACTCTTCCCTGTTTAACTCCATTGTTAGCATCGTGTGCCATGCAAACATTCGCTCTGAAGCTAATTTTATTTGTCTTGCCTCTCATAATATTCCTTAATGTGTATTGAGGTCCAGATCCGGTCCAATGCTTTATTTTATTCATTGCATTTTACAGTCAGGTTAAGTGAAGTGCTTTCCACTTTCGGTAGGTATAAGAACGAGTTTTTTAAAATTACGTTTTCTCAAAATGCTACGTGACAACGCCTTTATATAGCAGCATTGGGTAATGATTCACACCGTGGAATTGTTTCCATTTCCACTTATATCTCCTCAAAAAATTAACTTAGCTTTCGCAGGTAGCGCTAAGTATTTTTGTGCTTAAGGCAATAATCGGGAAAAAAATGGTAAGCTGTTGGGCTGTAAGGTTTATGTCAGTGAGAAGGGCCTAGCCTGCAGTTCATTTTTTTTTCTATTTCCTAAAAGTTCGAAAAGAATAGCCTTTGAAATTTTTTCATGCTCGATAACCACTTAATTGTCATTATGTAACCTCTTTTTGTGCTATTGGTAGAGTACATGCAACACAAACTGCGTTGCTATCCCCCAAGCAGCTATATATCTAACATTCCTTTTGCTAGTGTCTGTTGTTAATCAAAGCTTTATTTCTGGCTTGTGTAATCTCACATTTAAGAAACCAAAGTATTCTCTTCTTTTATAGCTGGCGGAGCCCAAACAGATCCTTGGTGTTGTAGCAGTAGTGATAGGACCGCGCCCCTCGCCAGCGTTCCTCACTGTTCCTCCTCGTGTTGTTGGCAAGATGATTGTGAGTTTGAACATGAAGAAGACGAGGAGGACTTTTTGGAGGAGGATTGCAGCAGTGATCTGGGCTTCGATAGCTACTACTATCCCAGTCGGCCTACTGACTCTCTTCCCTGTCTGCTGCACCCAACTTATCCTCGTCATTTTCATTCTCCTCCGCCTTCCCTCCACCTGCTTCCTCGCGGTTCTGCCGTCGACCTCTCCACCGCCGGTATGACTGAAGAATGTTCCAGCTGTTGTTGGACCGCCGATTCAGACTTCTCTAGTTCCCTCGGTGGTGGTCGTGGTGGTCGGCACTCTTCAGAGGACGGGAGAGGTCCCAACACTGGGGGATTCTGGACCTCACCATATCCTCGGGTGCCTCCGACACGGCAGCGGAAACAACGACTTTCATCAACTTCTTCAGCTATGCTATTCTCTCGTAGACGATTTTCAACAACTGTCGAGAAGAAGATGCGCTGGAGGCGTGGCGAGCGTCATGGACGACGGCGTACGGTAAGCAGTAGTGGCGGTAGCAGCGGCGGCCTCCCTATCACGGCTGCGCCCAACGCTGCTGACGTCGTTGTCGGCACTGCGCGGTCAGCGAGTGTTACGCGTAATGGGAAAGGCGATAAGTCATCTTCCCTGGCAAAGGGTTCTGACGAACTGGTTGCTTGTCCAATTCACGATTGTGGCCTCGTCTGCTCTGGATGCGAAAACCTCTGCGAACATCTAAAGGAGTGCCATCTTCCTGACTGTAAATACACCTCATTTAGGCATCTCAAATGCAGTCGCATTAATGGTGTTTATTTTTTTTTTCTACTGTCACTTACACAGTGGTTTGCACATGACTTGGTTTTCCCGGTTGCAGCATAATTCTTCATTTGCCTTCACTACTTTGCGTCTGCTTAATTCCTTATTTCTACCATTGAAGCTTACGCCTCTTGCACTAGTTTTGCTTCTAGTGGATGTACCTATAGTTTGAATTATAATTTTTTTTCATGTCAATCAAAACTTAATTGTACGTAGTTGTTTGTATGTTTTGGTTACGACTTACTTGATCAGTGAAAAGTTGTAATGCCTTCCCTACCACTAATTCTTGAATTACATCATTACATCACCACATTACTATTTCTCTTAGGAAATATTACACTTTACCACTATGAGGCCTGCTATTTTTACCTGGCATGACGTTAGTTTTTGAAACCTCAAGTTTACTTATTTTTGCATTACTCCTTTCCACAATATTTGGCAATCGACCTAATTTCTTACCTGAAGTACTTCTTCTCTTCAGATTTTCATTGTTCTGAAACTAAGGTTGTGATTTTTTAGTTTCTACATTCGTCTGTGAGTTCTACTTTGCATGCGCATTATTTCATGTTTTACTTGTCATCATAAGTCGTCTAATCTATCCATTCATGGCTGTTTCGATCCAGCGTTGTCGGTTCATCTGATTTTTGTAGCATGTCTGGGATTACACTTACCCTCCGGCTTTAACCACAGCGTTGATGGTGTTTGGAACCTTTTCGGCTTGGATTATGTGTTTTTGCGATTAGCATTATTCTTCCAGCTGACCGTTTTTAGCCTCGAACCAATTAGAGTACTCATTACAACCATTAGTTACACTTCATAAAGTTTGCTTTAGTTTTGCCAACTACTGTTGTATTTCTTTCTGATACCAATATACTCGCTTACAGTCAACTAGCTTTGACGATCAGTCCTCCCTCTTACCCCGTGGTTAGATGACCGCTGTTTGCTCCTCATCCCCATAATCACTGGGTCAACCTCAAGCGCACTGGAATTACCACCCGATGCACAAACATGTTGATAGATACTAAACGTCTTTGAATTCTCACGATTGTTCTAGAGGCTGAAGAAACTCATTATGCCAATTTATTTTGTTGTCTTCTGAAGTCTTTGGAGCTTGTTTTATTGTCATTTGTAATGCTAGTTGAGCAGCAAAAGCTCCTTCCTAATGGCTCAAAAGTACAAGGGGATGGATCCTCTAATTGAACAGCAAACGAATTCAGATAGAGAGTGGCGTTCGATACATTGTTAGGGTCGTGCGATTAGCTAGATGCACAGCCGACCCTACAGGGGAAGCTATGGCGAAAGCAATTTTGACTAGCAAGTGTTTTTCGTTAATCCGAAAAGTAGGCAATAGAAGCATCTAGTTCTGATGTTTGAAAACCCTCGTTTGGAAGGCAGTCAACTCGGAGCGTACACTATATGCGATGCCGACGCAGTCGATGTCTGTGGTATGCGGGTATGAATGACTGACTAATGTGGTTTGTGTCTGGGTCATGACTATAGCCCAAACTACATAAATCCATGCTTGAGTCATCCATGGTCGAGGTTTACCTGGATGGAGCATGTCCATATCGCATGTTCGGTCGTAATGTGGCATTTGCACAACCAGTTCGCGTGCATGCGCTCAAGTTGTAGATAGAGGAGAATTATTTTCCTCCTTTATTTCTGGTTTTGTACATGTGGAACGAGAATTTAGGGTAAATAAAGTCATCACTTTTCTGCGAAGCAATAGAAAAGTTTACACTTTATGAAGGTTTAAAGTTTGGAGTTTGTTTCCTCCTCGTATGTCAATGGTGTCCGTCCAGTCACGTGACTGTTGTAAACTAACCGTTTGTCACTCAAAAGATACACTTAAATAAACATGTGGTGCTGACCGTGAGCTTGACAAGGCAGCAATGATTCAAGCGAGTGGAACATTTTCAATAAATATTTCCTCAATCTCCTAGAGATTTGAAATGTGCATAAGACTCGCAAAAATGCAGATATTCGGTTTCTGTTTTTCACCCACCGTTTCATAAGATGGCTGTCGGGAAATCAAATTCTATGCATGTGGATCTGCAGTGCCCAGCGTTAATGTTCTCTCCTCTAAGCTGATCGGATTCAAGTCCTCAAGCAGCATTGTTGTGCCCTATGCCTTCGTCTTTGCACTTGCTGTCGTGATCGGTTTTAGCGTGTTAGCTACTGTTTTGTAGGCGCAGTCTTGATGCCTTCATCGTAACATCTTTTACTCAGTGAATGCTATCTAAAACTTTGAATAAGAGGAAGTCTTTACATTTTTAAACAACACCTCTCACTACATTCTCTCCAACTTCCGCTTTTTGTTCATGCGTTCCGATTGCGTATGGTACATAAAAGGCAAAGAATTGCCTTTTTAGTGATGGCCCATCCACTTGAATTTCTGGTCATTGCATCGGAGAATCAATGTATGTTTTTTTTCAACCACAAGCAAATCAAATACTCCGTGTAATATCTGTATATTTTAATGTGCTTCAAAGTTTTAGACTTCATAATGTGAACTTTTTAGGCAAAGCTCCATTACAAATCGACATGGAATAGTCCCTGTATTCAGGTTTTCATGTCTTCCATCATTAGATCCGCCTTCTTTGCGGTTTGTTGTATGCAATGTCTCTGCATTACATCAACTTCGATATTTCAGAGCACGTTATCGAAATTTCAAATGCTCTCCGGTGTATACGCTCATGCATCTAGCCAGTTGCCAACATGTAGCATTTACGGCTCCCGGGGTTTTTCTTCGCTAAATTCCACTATTGTACCTTCCTTCTGTCTTGTTGTCACTGTCACTTTTGAGCGTCACTCAGAAGGATGGCTACGATCATTCCCGCCTAGATTCTCATATGCTCCACTTTGGCATCAAATCATGTCAACTTCTCAACACATCTCAGATGCTGTGATCCTGTTTAAAATCGCAATTCCGCTTTCACACTATCTAGCATTACTTGTCGACACTGTCTACTTACAGCCAGGAATAAGCCAGTACGATTGATATTCGCCTGCCCGGTGAAAAGCTGTCGGACCTTTTGCGCCAACGAGGCTGCATTCGAGGCGCACTTCGATGCCCACCTGGAGAGTCATATATCTGGCAAGATTGGTGACTTCTTTCGCCGAACCTCTACCGACTATGAGGCTGAGACAGCCAAATCTAAGCAACATCAGCGGCGGCGTCACGTGAAGTCGGCATCATCCCTCGTGGATCTCAATATGGACGTGTTCGGCAGCCTCTGTCTCCCTGTATCTCCTGCGGACCAGCCCATCTGCAACCGCAGTTCAGATGATCCTAGCTGTTCTGTGAACAATGCTGCCAAACTCGACAGCCCTTCTACATCTGTGGCTCTTCTTGATGGTATGAATTCCTCTTCCGCTATTGTTGTTTACGGTGGCCTATTCATTGACTCGTTACCTGTTGATGCGTATGCTTTCACTCTTCTTCCAATTTCACTTCAAAAACTGGCTCTCTTTTCACGTTATGGTTTTGTTTTTACAGCTCTCAAATTTTAAATTGGCATTTTTACTCTCAATGTCAGGACTGAAAGCTAATTCTGTGTCTGCTCATCGGATTCTGCGGTTACTTTGGGACTGATGTTGTTGCTATCACTTGGGTTGCAGATCTGTTATGGCGAGGAACTGTACTGCGGTAATGGCACCTCCTGAAGTGCATTTACCGTTATTGCCCCCGGTCATACATTTTTGCTAACTTAACTGCTATTATCAAGTATGGTAGACTTCTTCATGGTACAAAGTATAATTTTTACTTCTATATGTTTGTGACTATGTGTCCCTTTTTATCAAACTTAGGAGAGAATTGGAGTCTCTTACAGGCTTTGGACCTCCTTCCTGATGATGTTCTGCATGAGTTGCTGCAGGAGAAAACCTCTGGCTCCAACACTAATGGCGCTTGGACAGGTCCATCCTCTTTCAACGCCGGTGAGAGCGGGAACACCCCAACTCTCTCTAATGGTTCCTCAGGTGGGATTGGCAGTGTCCAGGGCTCCAACATGCAGCATCTGCAGCAGCAGACTCCCATGGTCGTCTCCTGTTCTTCATCTTCCGATAGTGAGACTTCCGTCTCCGTTCACTCAGAGCGCTGTCATCAGTGCCTAGGTGGAGGCAGTGTTGTGAAGCGTCAGAGAAACTCGCTAACTTGTCTTGATTTTCCGAGATCGGGACAGGTCGGTCTCTCGCGTACACGCTCAACGCAATTACAATCGAAAAAAGAGCCTCCGCCTCCAAATAGCCTTCCCTCGGCATCACAACTTCTTTTCGTAAGTTCACCTCCCTTTTGTATGCTTTGTCGAATTTCTTTGCATCTGAATCCAGTTTGTTTTGCTATCGACGTTTCGACGTTTCCACATGCCCATGAGACACTCGATGAGAATGGGCCTCAATCTATACCGTCTTAGCATTGGCACTTGTATCAATCTCTGGTTTATTATTATGCACCAAGATAGTTATCAGTAAATTTCCGATCACCGATTTGCGACTATCACCTTTGCCATATTTAATTTCCTTGACTTTTATTGAAGAGGTGTAAAATGTAACTTATCTGAGAAGGTTCTTGCTGCCACAAGGGGAGACAGGTGCCAAAAATCTTTTCTTTAAAACACAACCCATTTTTGATTTGCTTAACCTCTTATTTCAAATATTAATGCAACTAAAACATCGCTGGTTCTTTACCCTTTCCCAAGAACAACTTGTTATTTGTAAAGTAGCATCTGTGCTTGTTTTGATTTGGAATTGGTTCCATTGTATTATAGTTCAAAATACAATGTCGGTATGTTTGTATCAGCATGGCATTAATGCAAACAACAGTTTATTGATAAACTATACCACTGTGAAATTTCCATTGATTACTATTCTTCTTTTTCAGCCAAATAAGTCGGTGGCATCGCATGCCGTTTCAACGGAGGATGTCTTTCACCTCCCAGAGGCTTGGCACCAAGTGTGTCCGGAACCAGATTCTACCCGCCCTAATTGGAGGGAGGAGGAAAGAAGTGGAGTACCGTTTGGCTTTCTAGAAGAAAGCGAGAAGACCCCCACCTGTCACCTCTCTGACACTGACATGCCTCCGCTCTCATCCTGTCTTTTGCCCACCCCTACTACTCCCGTCACAGCCACTGCCTATTCGCATCATCGGAGGTACACAAATCGTCTGAAGCGTCGCAGGCGCGCACTTGGCGAACGATTCTACACACTTGACTCAAGGTATCTCTCTCCTCAGCAGGATACTTCTTCCAATTCCTTTGAGGTGTCCCAGCACAACTAGCACTGCGTATGTGCGTATGCGTCCAACTCTCACCTCATCTGGTTTCTCTTCTTGCCTATGGTAGTCTCGTTCCCTCCAATTTTTCCCCTCCCCTCTCCCCTATCATCCTGTATAGCTAATAGAAGAGTACAAGTCAGCCTCTAAGGCTCTCACTGCGTGCTGTGCCAAATATTTCATCGTTGTACGGTCAGCTACTCGGTCTCTATTCTCCTCTCTCCCTCAATTCAATGCATGTGTTGTATCTGCATTTTCATTTTTCATTTCAATACCTTGTGTTTCCCCAGTATAAATCCTCTATTTGTTTAAGTTTATGTATAAATATAGCACGATATGGACCTGGTCTAAATTGGCGAAACGAGTTGATAAGCCTCCACCTGTTTCCTGTCCACGTATCAGAATTCATCTGAGGTCGCATATTTAGCACGTGTGCTCCGGCGCATGGTAATTTTCGAACTCCCTTACTCACAAAAGGTTGGGTGTTCTACCTGCGTTATGTCAACGTGTTAACGCACATGTAACAATCCCATCGCTGGCAGATTTTACGCGTGACCGTAAACACAAAAAATCAACTTAACTTTACAACGCTATAAAGATAACACTTGAACTCAAAAGGCATTTGTCCTCTGTTTGTAGCCGTTTTTAGTTGAACTTGTTAAGCTCATTGCTTGGATTGGGAAGATATCTGGCGTGACACTTGATCGAGTCATTTACGACTTTTGCATTATAGTTCCCGTATTTGAATAATGTCAGGGTCAACTACGAGCTCCACGTGACTCCGAAGGTGTTCTGTTCGTGCCATTATCTGCGTGACAAATTTTCAATGCAAGCAGGACGGAAGAAATGCTGCGTCTGAATAGCTCTACAAGTTCTACCGAGTAAAAAGTCGGATCTAGTCGAGGCCACTGAAAAGTCACATAGGAGTTTAGGATTGACTCGGCTGGCTGTTAGATTTTGCATCACCGAATATGTTCTAATCGATAGAGTGGGAGAAGAATTGGAGGAAACGACTGAAAGGTCGCCAAAGATAAGAGAAGCCATGCTTATTCAATCGCCTGCAAAAGTGGCGGTCAGTTTGGTGGCTATCTGGATCTTTCCAAAAGAACTGGACCTAGGAGCGCTCGAAAGTTCTAACTGCACCGTCCGAGACTTCCCACTCGGTAGCAAAAGGCATTGAGTTGGGTTAAATACGTGCATTCTGAGAGGGT